TTCATTGTGTGGCTCTGGAGTTTGTTCTTCTTCTCACAAGTAAGGGTACACACACCCACAGGCCTCGGTCTTGGTGTTCGAATCGAAGGCTCCTTCTGCAAGCGGGGCAGCAGCATCCTCCTGGGGCTGGTGTTGTCGTCGGAACATGAAACTATGAATCTTAGGGCGGGTCGTTTGGGGTTCTCACATGATGCCATATAGCATTCTTAGATTTGGCCCCCCTAGCTGCCCTATAGCTCTTTGTACACATGTTGATTATATATACATATATATAAAAACACATGCAGATATGTGTAACAAAACATGTTGTTGAACTATGCAATGCAAGATTCTTTGGGTCGTGGACCACCATGTACCCAGAGCTCCCAGGCTTGCGGCTTCACCGTCTCCAAACCGTAAAGTTGCTCAGGTGGAACCTTTGGGTGTGGTGGTGCAAGGTGTTGCGGCGGTGGGTACGGGGGCTGGGTCGGCATTGCTTTGGCTTTTGGTGGGAGTGCTGGTTCTGGGACATTGGGCTCTGGTGGGCTTTGGGATGGCGGTGGTGCCTGGCCCAGTGGAGGGGGGGTGGGCGGAGGGCCTTTCCAAGGCGGCTGTTCTTGGGCTGGTGGCGCCCACTTGCCCCACGACTCGTCTTCCTTCGAAGCTTTCGAAGGGGGCGGCTTCGCCAGCTCTGCCACCAGGTACTTGTTCGTCGCCATTTTCCCATGCCATTGCCCGTCGAGCGAAGCCCGGGCAAGCTCAGCCGCATCTGTGGAGTCCTTTGGTTTAGGGTTTGGGGGTTAGGGGTTTGGGGTTTATAGGGTTTAGGGTTTAGGGTTTATATATAGGGGTCGCAGCATCCTCTAACAAAAACCAAGTTGCGAACTCCAAGAAGATGCTGCAGTGATCTGGCCGCTGCAGCTTCTTCTCCCAGTACCGTTCCCTCACCACCTGGATGTTCCGGCAGTCCAGCACCCCGAGCTCTTCGATCGCCGCTCTGATCGCCTCGGCTCTCTCTCATGTAACTACATATATGTATGCCTGTCTATATGTGTACCAACCTCACCCTTTGTATATATGTGTAGATATAAGCATATATAATTAGACACAAAAGAAAAGTAATGAGTGTCAGATTGTGGCCAATAGACGTGTATTGAGTTTATCTATATCTACATATTGTGTACATATAAAGTATATATGTTAAACCCTAAACCCTAAACCCAAAGCTACTTTTCTTTCGAGTGGCCCACTTCGTCGCACTGTACGTGACATTCTTCACGTAGACACGGTAGCAGTCGACAGTTGCCATGGCCGCGAAGCAAAACTTGCTATATATGTTAGAACACCCAAAGTGAACAGCCTTTATTCTTTGTGGATAAAAATGTGCCTAGAGCCTAGCCCCGGCGCCGAAAGCCTGACACCCGAAACTCGGTAATGGCTTTGGGTTGTATGCTTTAAAAGTCCAGAGCATCTATGCGAAGCTATCTACAATCCAAACCTTCTACAAATACTGTGAGAATAAGCCGCATCGGCACATGGTGGTGACATCGTGTCGAACACATCGTGTGTAGGAGATACTACGTCGCAAAACTAGAGTCTCTCCTGCTGTAAAGGAAACAGCGACCACGGCCACAAGTTTCGGCTCCAACATCATCTCGCAAAAAAGCCTCGATAAACCTCTTCAGCCGGCATTCTCTGCACTCAAGCAATTCCAACTCGAAAGTGTTAGACATTGGAGAATGTTTTTTTGGGGGCTCACAAGGAATCCGGGCTGTCGGTTTGCGGTTTAAGTTTGGGGAGTCGGGTTTGGGGTTTCGGGTTTTGGGGTTTATATAGGGTTTATGGGTTTAAAATTAGTTTTGGGTTTTAGGGCTTAGTGAGGGTTGAGGGTTTTTGTGAAATACTGCTTTAAAGGCAAGACACACTCGCAGGTAGATCTCGCAAGTAACACAAAGCTCCCCATCGCATGTAAAGCTGCACAAGGAAAATCTCGCAAGTAACACAAAGCTCCCCATCGCATGTAAAGGTGCACACAAGGAAAATCTCGCAAGTAATATACAAAGCTCCTCACATCGCATGTAAAAGGAAACACTCGCACAGGTAAAAAGCAGAACTCATCGCAAGTACATATACAAAAATCACCGTCGCAAGTAAACCTGCTTTGAGGCTTTAGGCTATTGGTGGTTTCGGGGTTACAAAGGCTTATATATACAGTATATGATAGGGATCAAATACATATATCACACAGAACAGGAAGCACTCAACCTCACACACACACACAAATGCAAGAAACATTTTTTCTCGCAGTCATTGCCCCTCTGCTGCCGGAAGGTTCACCCTTTTTGTGCTTCTCACTAAAAGGGCCAAAGATGCATTATGCTAGATGGCATTGTGGCAGATGTAGTGCTCTACATGTAAACGAAAGACATATAGAAACACACCGTGACTAGCACCCATGGGTTTTCTCAGAGTTGTGGGAAAACAAACCACGTTTATATACAACATATATATGCTTGAAACTCAGATTGTTATATAGTCTACAAAGTTCAGAAAACCCAGGGTGCACATCACATCCCGCACTGAACACATTTTGGTTTTCAAACCCCCAGCGACTTCATGACGTCCTTTCGCAGCTTGTAGAGCTCCAAGAGCGGGATGCCCTGCTCGACGTAGGGAATCATCTTCTCGATCACCTCATGATGCTTCGGACAGCAACTGGAAATGATGCTCCTCAGCTTGCCGCCGTTATCGTAGTTGCGGATGTAGGATTTCTCAGAGTAGAACTCTACCTTGCAAGATCCGTACTTTTCGGCGGACAGCCATTTGTTAGACGGCGAAGTCGCCGCCGCCGGCTTCGGCTTCGCCGCCGGCTTCGGCTTCGCCGCCAGCTTCGCCACCTTCGTCTTCGCCGCCGACTTCGCCTTCGCTGTGGCTTTGGGCTTGGGGCTCTTCTCTTTCGGCTTGCCGGTGGCTTTGGGCTTCGAAGCACCCTTCTTTTTGGCCACAGCCACAGACACCGGCGGCATGAAAGCCATGGCATTTTTGAGGATGTCCAAGTCGCACTCATCCGTGGAAGAGATCACTTCCACATCCTTGGCCGGCTCAGCCCCGGCACCAGTCTTGATCTTTGCCTTTCCTGCCTTTTTGTTCTTTGCCTTTGTGGCCTTCTTCTTCAGGGTGCCCTTCTTCATAACGATCTTCTTCGGCTTGCTGCTCTTATGGATGTGCACAAACTTCTCCGCAAACTTCTTCGGCTCGCTGCTCTTCAAGGTGTCCGGAAACTTGGTCGGGCTGCTGTTCTTAAAGATTTCCGGCAACTCCGGGAACTCAACATCCTGCAAAGGAGTAAGCTTCTCGTCACCACGAAAAGGAACAGGCTTCTCATCCTCGTTCACGGGAACAAGGGCCGTGCTGGGGGAATCAAGAGGCTTCGGGGCAAACTCCTGCACCTGCACCCTTTCCAGGCAAAGGTCAAGCTTCCTGATTGTATGTTTCCACAGACTTATAGGTAAAAAAAAGTTTGCAACACTTCTTTGTTCCGTCACACGAATTATATATACAGCGAAAAAACACGAAAAACATATATGTGCAGCCACTGCACACTTGATCCTCGTGCGACAGGGACCTGTAGACTTTCCGCTTGAAGCTCTCCTTCTGCTTCATCGCACGGAGGTGGCTAAGAAGAAGACGGATGGCGGTGTCCATCTTGTCCACAAGGTCCTCTGCCTTGTAGTCTTTGTGGCCTTCGAGCAGCAGGTTCTTTTGCTCGTGAAGGATCCAAAAGCTTCGGGTAACCCGCTGCGACAACAACTTCGTGTTCGGGGCGAGGCGAAGAAGGTCAAACAGCAGCCCAGCTGTCTTTGCCAACCACGGACCGTGGGCGGCAGTGTGCCAAGTGTAGCTTATTGGCCCGCCCGGAGGGGGGCACAGTAAAGGCCACAGGTCCTTCGTCTTCTTGAACTCGAGAAAGCCAAACACCACATCCGCCAGCTCCTTTGCTGTAATAAGCGGATCGGCAACCACTCGGTCCTTGGCATTTTTGCCCGTTGCAGCGGAAGCGCCGTCCGCCAGCTTGACCGAAGCTGCAGCTGCTAAGGAAGCCATGCTCGCAAGACTGTATATACTGTGTATGTATAGGATTTATGATTTCTCAAAAAAATGGAATGCATTTGTCTCTGTCTCCATCCAGCCTCGCACTTACCTCTGGGTCTCGTCTGGACCAAACACACAGCTGCAACGTCCGAAAATTTTTCTCACTCTCGGATCTCAGAAAAGTATATATATATATATATAGTAGATCTCTCGCATGTAACCTACAAGAGTCTCGCACAGGTAAAGGTGGACTCCTCGCAGGTATAAACTATATTGTGATGACTCTCGCAAATGTACATGTACCGATTTCTCGCATGTAAAAAGCACACATCGCAAGCAATCCGCCGGCTCGACCCAGCACAGAATCAAACCGAGCTGCGATTTCAACATGGAAAACCATGGCTTAACAAGTATGCTTGCAACACAATTCTCATAATTTTATCTTCACACCTGACCATGCCGCACTGTACAGTCGCAGGAAAATCTCATGCAATCAACAAGCAGAACCATGATAAAAGAAACAAAACCAACCAAAATTAGCTTGCATTTCACTTCTTCAAATTCGGGAATGTGTAACCTAAAAACATGTATTTTGCAGTGTAAAAAAATTTACATTGCAGTGTAAATTTTTTACTATACAAAGTAAATTAATTTACACTTTTTTTTACGTAAATTTTTTCGTAAATTTGAAGTGTAAACCAAGCTTTGTTTAGTAAATTGCTCGCCACCTAAAATTAGGTAAACAGCAGGGTCAGGGTACTCCCCCAGCTACGGCACCGCTTTCCAGCTCCTGGCAGGAGGCTTGGCCCGCGAAATTGAGCGGGGATCGAACGGCGGCGCTTAGGAAGAGGTTCGAAGAGGATTACCCCACTGAACTTCTTGATGCCGAGAGCTTTCCAAGCGCCCGCTTATTGGCCCTCACCAACAAGATGCTTTCTGACAAGGAGGTCCGATGGATCCCTTGGAAGTACCGCTTAAGCCCCCGGGCGCAAGAAGATAGTCTCCTCGTCCGGCCTAGGAAACAGGCCCGCTTTGACCTCACAGAGCTTTTTCTCGACGAGGCTCCTACCCGCGATATACATGAAGGCCCCGCTTCCTTTGGCCTCGTCACCCAGCTTCTGTCACTAGCGGCCAATGCCATCGCGCTTTGCCAAGGTGCACACCTGGGCTCTCTGAAGCTTTATAACAAACGCTTCATGAGGATCTGCTTCACCAAGTACGAGGCCGCGGCCAGCTTACGAGGACCCACCACCATGGAAGCCCAGGCCGCCGACCGCCGCTGTTGGGAAATCATAGCCGACTTAGTCAACGTGCACCATTGGAAGCTGGATGATGCGCTTCACGAAGTTGCTGAGGTGCGCTCTGATTTGCACAGCTTACTCGCCCCGAGGCCTTTCATTCCCAAGCCCAAGTTCGACCCGGACAACAGCTGGAAGGCCCGCTTTACGGGCAACGGCCGAGGCGGCAAGGGTGGCGGCCGTGGCGGCAAAGGCCGTGATGGCAAAGGCGAGAAAGGCGATCGCTTTGAGAGGGGTGGCAAAGGGGGCAAGGGCAAGGACAACAAACAAGCCACACCCACCGGCAAGTGGCTCTCGACTATATCTTCATGGATGGTAAGCGTCAGACGCTTTGCATGAGGTACCAAAGCGGACAGTGCAAGGACCCGGCCACCTGCCGCTACCTTCATCGATGCGCAGTGCCAAAGAGTGACGGCACAGCGTGCGGGGGCAACCACCCAGCTTCTCAGCATGTTGCCACCCCGCACTAGTATGAACGTCGGTGCAGCCCTGGGTCCCCCCAAACCCCTAGTGCAAAACGGGTAAGAACTATCTCCGCGCGTGCACGGGCCTCAGGTAGGTTTAACGAGTTCGGGAGTGTTGGCGCAACCACCGCCTGCCGATGCGCAGAAATGTGAACATCTAGCTTACGAAATTATGTCGCGCCGCCAGCCTGGTGAGCTCACGGCCGATGACATGTTCGAAGTCCTGTCACAGACACCCGAAGTCCTTCCAGCCAGGGCCCGAGGTATCCAAACGGAGGACTCTCACCAGTGGTTCTCCGGAGGCTACAGCCATGGTCCAATGGTCGGTGTCCGAAACTCAACTCTGCGCTGCCCTTGGACCACCGCCTTGGCATGCCGGTATGTACGCGAGCAGGCTCCGTGGCACAGGTTTGGAGCGATAGCATTCACGGTGAACCTTCTGGCTGAGCCACATGTGGATGCTCATAACGACCCTAACTCTAACAACCTTGTGCTGCCTATTACGTCGTTCAAACGAGGTGGCCTGTGGCTTGCTGACAAAGCAGGCAGCTCGCCGAGGACCATAGACGGCACACGAGTGATGGGCACGGTGCTTTCCTTTGACGGCGGGGGAATTTGCTTCAACCCACGTGTGCCTCATGCGACTGAGCGCTGGGAAGGAGATCGTGCTGTACTAGTTGCATTCCTCCCGGGAGGTTTGGACGAGCTCGAGCAATGTGACCGGGCGATCCTGGACGAGCTCGGCTTCGTCACATCTGCTTGTGCCACTACCAATGCAGCCTCTCAGCCCGTGAAGTTTACAGCTGAGTTTGGTGTCAGGTGGTCGCCCGAGGAGTTCGTCGAGCAGGCGTGCAATGTTGAACACCCCAGCAGCCTTTCGAACCTGCTCCCAGCAGACCTTTTTTATTTTCCCTGCAAAACAAATTTATTTCGCTTTCGAAATAAATTAGGGCATGTGTGTGACTGTCTCATGTGAGCTATGTTAAGAGTGTTTCTCACGAAACATTTCTGCTCAAGGGAGAGGTGGGTGGGACCCCCAAAGTTTTGTAGAATTTTTCGTCTGGGGGTAGTGTATGGATGGTGCCGGGGCTCAGCCACTGAGCGAGAGAGCAGTCCGTGAGCTGCTACATGACCTTGAAGAGCGTGTGCTTGAAGCTCTAAGTGACGTGCTTTACAGAGCGGATAGACTTGAGGTCTGTGCCGGCTACTGTCCTTGGTAGCTGCCTTCTGCAGAATCGCATAGCTTCTTGTGAAGGCTTGTATCGGAGTGAGACGACTGACGTCGATCTCGAGCACTAGACTGATGGAGCTGTGTGACAAGTCTTGTCGAGGCCACTAGCATGGCCCTCCCGGAAGACATTGATCTTCTGGAAGATGATGTCCAGGAGGCTAGTGTGGAGAAGCTTTCTCATGAGGCTTCCTTGCGGATGTCAGTTGCCATACAAGACGCAGGGTTAGGTTTAGGGCGTTGCGTGATTGACACGAAGCTTCCTTGGGAACTTCCGGGACTTGAGTTGGTTTTTGGTTCTCGTGCAAGCGTGCTTCCCAAAGCCAGTGATGCCATCTTACCGCAGGCGGTGCCTTTTCCTGTCAGGGAATCTGTTGGAGAGGCATCCTCTTCGCGCGACTGTGCGCATCGTGCCAAGAAGGCCAGAGCAAGCGTTACCCTGGGAGCCTGCTTTCGAGATGTTGTCAATTTCAACCTTGTGGAAACTGACGCTGCGCTTGAAGAAGTCAAATGGACCAGAGCTTTAGAAATGTGGCTATTCGTGATCATGGAGGACTCCAGCTGTTCTGCGATAGGATCACGGATTAGCCGCAAAAACGGAGCTGATGCCATGAAGTGCCTTCGTGAACTCTTCGGGAAGAAAGCATCCAGTACCGTCGCAAAGCGTGGGAGTGCAATGCAGAAGTTCGTTGTGTGGATACACAAAGCTTGCCCAGGCGAGTGTGCCCTGCCTATCACTTCAAAGCGTGTCGATGATTACATCGAGCAACTACAGGAAGCTAAGGTCCGACCTGGATCTTTCACAAGCTTTACTGAAGCTGTCAATTTCTCAGTGCATGTCGTTGGCTTGCCTTTCGATTGTGCCGGATCTCTGAGGAACCCTTTCTCAGGAAAGCAGTTGTTCAGTCCTTGGGCTCGTGGGGCTGTTGCGCTGGAGATACAGAAGAAAGCAGAGAGGAGGCAGAGCGCTGTCCTAACCACTGACAGCGTTCTTTACCTTGAGGCTTTCTTGAGCGACGAGGATGAAGATTTAGTCGACCGTTACGCTGCAGGATGCATGCTCTTCAGTTTGTTCAGCCGTAGTCGCATTAGTGATCTCAGAAAGGTCAAGGATTGGATTTTGGATTTTGATTGTTTGCAAAGCCACGGGCAAGGTTTCCTTGAGTGCAGCACTCGCAGTCACAAGACTGAAAAGGACGTTGCGGCCATTGGTCTTGCCATGCCCCTTGTTGCACCGGCTGTCGGCTTGGGTAAGGTGAGCTGGGCTGTTACATTCAGCAAGGTTGCTTCTGCAGTAGGTTTGGGGTTCGTAGGTCGGCCTGAGGGGCCTTTGCTGCCCGCTCCGGACGTTACCGGAGGATGGTTGTCCAGGTCGGTGACCACCTCCGAAGCTGGCGCTTGGCTCTGCAAGATTCTTGATAAGGGAGGGCAGCCATCCCAAGGGATCACAGGTCACAGCTTGAAAAGCACTACACTGACCTGGGCCTGTAAATTTGGTTTCGATAAGTATTCCCGGTTACAACTTGGACACCATGCCACTGGCGAAGGAACATTGCACACCTATGGCCGAGATTACTTGGCGCCTGCCCTCAGGCGCTACGATGAAATGTTGGCTGCAATCCGAAACGGAACATTCTTCCCGGACCTTACGCGCTCGGGTCGCGTGCGAGCCGCTGCACAAGTTCCGAAGGTGGAGGTCTCTGATGATGAAGTGCCTGATCTCGGGTTGACCAGCTTCGCTTCAGAAGGTTCTTTTGAGGCCATTGGTGTAGCATCCGCCGGAGAGAAGAGTGATGAAGATCAGGTTGCAGCACCCACTGACCATGAGCTGTCCTCCTCGGACAGCAGTAGCTCGCAGGACGAAGTCGTTGCAGGCAGGGACCACCCCGACTTGGACAACGACGAGATGGCGTGTGCAGTCGCCCGTCCCAAGCCAAGTTGGGAACCTGGATATGTCATGTACAAACATGTTAGGACACAGGTCGTTCATCTTTGCGCACAAGGCAGTTCGACCGGAGTTTTTGCGTGTGGGCGGAAGGTGACGTCCGATTTCAAGGAGGTCGCCCAAACTAAATTTTTGTCGTTTCGGAAGTGCAAGACCTGTGAAGGGGCAAAGCCGCTCCGCGATCCAGGAGCATTGGCCGAGGCCGTTAACGCTATGATGCAGCGAAAGTCGGCTGCAGAGAGTTTGTGAAGGTGCACTTGAAAGGCATCGCCTGAGAAAATACAGGGCAGACGACTTGTGGTCTGCAAAGTGAATGTCTGTTTGTGGAGAGTCGCTGCTGCATGTTCACAGCCTCCATCGAGTAAGTGACCGATGGGACTACGTGGCCGAGACGTGCCGGCCGCAAGACTTACAACCAACTTGAGCGCGCCTACATGTTCCTGTGCTCAAGAGGGCCGAGTGAACGTGCACTGCGGCTGCGCCGAGATGTGCCGGTGCCGAAGGGTTTATACATCACATGCAAGATTGCTATGGCTTCTAGGTCTTGACTGGAATACAGGATGGAATGATGAATATGCGTTCAGTTGGGAAACACTGCTTCCTAAACTGCGTGCCTTCGTACGAGCCTGTGTTTCGGAATATCATCTTTTCAATAGCGCTGTGCCACTACCGAGTTTAGCTGTTTTGAGCCGTGCCAGTGCCATGACCTCTCTTACCGAGAGCCGAGCGGCCTTCGAGGATCGTGCGGCCGAGGTCGGATTGTCTGCCGACGACATCGCGGCCCTCACTGGATCCGGCATCCACAGTCTAGCCCGTCTAGCTTTTGCGGCAGTGCCGCCAGGGGCTACGCCTTCCAATGATCAGGTCCGCGAGCTTTTTGGTACTCGAGTAATCAACGCTGGTGTCGTCGCTGCCACAAAGCGACTGATCTTTGAGGCTCACACGATGGTTGTTGCAGATCTTAAGCAGAAAGTTGAAAAAGGGGATGATCCGACATCCCAGCGACTGAATCCTGCTGAGCGCGAAGCTCGCATCACAAGGCAGCGGGCCCGGCTCACAGGGTTAACGCATCGTGGAGTGGAAGAGGTCGCATTCGAGGCGTACAATTTGGTGTACGGCATGCTGCAACAAGACACGCTTGTGTACCAGCATCCAAACAAATTCACCACGCGTCAGCATGAACTTCAGCTTAAGAAGGCGGTGAAGGAGGTTTCGTTGGATGGGAGTGGCTCCTTGACAGTGCGAGACAAGCCGCAGCAGGCCACATGTGATACCCACGGAGAGCTGGAGCTGGTTCAAGCGCTCCGCCGAAGGGCGCTCGCATTCGACCTCGTCGGCTGCTGCTCTTACGATGCTATGAACATGTATCATAGCCTGCTCATCCAGCGAGTCCAGGACGCGCCGCCGCCTAACTACGCAAAGGTTAGTGTGGTTCAGGCACTCCGCGCTGACAGAGCGGCTTTCACGAGGATCGCTGAGAAGGTGCGTAGCCTGAAGACAGGCGCGGATGGGGTCCGACCATTGGACCGTGCCTTCGAGAACATTCTCGATGACACACATGTCAGCTTTCATCTTCTGCCGCTTGCCATTCCCGAAAAACCTAAGCACCCGCCGCCTCCGCTCAAAAGGAAGATCGAGGATCAGCAGGCCGATGACAAAGGGAATAAGCCAGGTAAGAAGGGCAAAGGCACAGGGAAAGGTAAGAAAGGTGGGGCTAGGCTGCGTGTGCCGAAGGAGTTGATTGGAAAGTGGAGCCAGAACAAAGATGGTGAACGCTTGTGCTGGGCATTTAATATGCAGTGCGGCTGTGGAGACGCCGCCCCGGGGAGTGCATGCTCGCGCGGGCTGCACTTGTGCGCAGAGCCGGGATGCTTGCAGCCTCACTCTCTTCAGGAGCATCACAAGAAAAGCGGCGCTTGAGGGCTTAGGGCCCCTGAGCTTCGGACTGGGAAGGAGCGAGTGTCCTTCCTTGGACGTGCCACTGAACGTGTGGCCAAACTCAACATCGCTGAAGCATTTTGCATTCAGGTTTGCTCAGGGGCCGGGAGGTTCACTGCGGCTCTTCGTGCATGTGGAATGAAAGATTCTTTTGCTGTGGATGCGCGGGTCGAGGGAGCTGTGTGTCCTATTGTATCACTGGACCTTAGCACTGCTGAGGGCCAAAAACACTTCCTTTCGCTTCTTAATGAGCCTAACCTGGTCTATGTGCACATGTCACCGCCGGCTGGTACTGCCACTCGCGGTGCCGGGCTTCGTGATGACTTGCATCCGCATGGGCTTCCTTCCTTGAGAGGTGCAGACAAAGTTCGGGTCAACCAGGCCAACCGCTTGTTCGAATTTTGTGCTCGTGCCTGCAAGATAATGTACATGCGAGGGATTTTATTTTCAGTTGAAGGGCCTCTTCAGTCATTTTTGTGGGCCACCAAGTGGTGGCGAGATTTCTTCACAGACGTGCCAATTTTCGCCACAACCTTGCACCAGTGCATGTTTGGCCACTCCCGAAAGAAGGCGACCCTGTTGGTGCACACACTGCCTGCCTTCCTTTGCCTTCAACGCACTTGCGACGGCAAGCATTCGCACGCTTCTTGGGATTTCGCTAAGTCCTCTGCCGAGCTTAGTTATCCTTGGGCCCTCGCACGAGAGATGTCCACTTTGCTGCGAAAACAATTGCTTGATCTGGGCTGTGCCGACGCGCCGCAATCCTTGCACGAGCTTGATAACCTAGTAACCGGAGCCCGCGTGTATTCCGGAGTTCAGGCCAGCAAACGCGTCTTGCCATTGGTCTCAGAGTTCAAAACCCGGGTCATGGTTTCAGGGTGTTGCGATCCTGCTTGTGTCAGTGGCCTTGAGCGCCGGAAAGTCCTAACGGAGGAGTGGACTCCCCCTGCCGGGTCCACTCTGTCGGTGGACCTGCTCTCCATTCCTGTTGGAAGCAAGGTCCTTAGCATCTCCACACAAGGGGTGCAGCCAGATGCCGAAGGGGTACATAGTCATCCTGAGGTTAGTCCCGCTTGGGTTCCTTTGCCGCCTGCTCCCTTTTGTCCTAAGCCTCAGGTAGGTTTAACGAGTTCGGGAGTGTTGGCGCAACCACCGCCTGCCGATGCGCAGAAATGTGAACATCTAGCTTACGAAATTATGTCGCGCCGCCAGCCTGGTGAGCTCACGGCCGATGACATGTTCGAAGTCCTGTCACAGACACCCGAAGTCCTTCCAGCCAGGGCCCGAGGTATCCAAACGGAGGACTCTCACCAGTGGTTCTCCGGAGGCTACAGCCATGGTCCAATGGTCGGTGTCCGAAACTCAACTCTGCGCTGCCCTTGGACCACCGCCTTGGCATGCCGGTATGTACGCGAGCAAGCTCCGTGGCACAGGTTTGGAGCGATAGCATTCACGGTGAACCTTCTGGCTGAGCCACATGTGGATGCTCATAACGACCCTAACTCTAACAACCTTGTGCTGCCTATTACGTCGTTCAAACGAGGTGGCCTGTGGCTTGCTGACAAAGCAGGCAGCTCGCCGAGGACCATAGACGGCACACGAGTGATGGGCACGGTGCTTTCCTTTGACGGCGGGGGAATTTGCTTCAACCCACGTGTGCCTCATGCGACTGAGCGCTGGGAAGGAGATCGTGCTGTACTAGTTGCATTCCTCCCGGGAGGTTTGGACGAGCTCGAGCAATGTGACCGGGCGATCCTGGACGAGCTCGGCTTCGTCACATCTGCTTGTGCCACTACCAATGCAGCCTCTCAGCCCGTGAAGTTTACAGCTGAGTTTGGTGTCAGGTGGTCGCCCGAGGAGTTCGTCGAGCAGGCGTGCAATGTTGAACACCCCAGCAGCCTTTCGAACCTGCTCCCAGCAGACCTTGAAACCGCTGTTCGTAAAAACTTTGAGTTGGGCGAGCACGCATTGGGGCAGCATCGGACCGAGCTGATCAGAAAGTGGATTGCACGGGCGAACTCCCTCGTTGGTGAAGAGGATGCGCTGCGAAAGGGAATGTCCGATAACCGGCGTCACATCCTTGCACAAAAACGCTTGATCCTGTTCAGGACCCTTCTTGAGGATGCCGAGCACGCTGACCAAGGCCTCTTCAACGACTTAGTGCAAGGGTTCGACCTAGTTGGTAAGTTGCCTGAAAGTGGATTCTTCAAGAAGAAATTCAGACCAGCCAGCATGCTCGAAGCAGACTTGCGACAAGGTGCTGATCGTGCAAGGGAAGCCACTCTGGCGACTGTTGGGCCAGCGGATGATCCTGTCATCGACGAAGGTGTGCTGCAAGCGACCCTTAAGGAAGTAGACGCCGGTGTAGTCGAGGGACCCATAGACCCCAGCACGCTTCCGGAGGGAGCCACGCTGACCCGCCGTTTTGGTGTGGTTCAGGGAGAGGTTGATGGCGCGCCCAAGGTGCGGCCAATCGATAATTATAGGGCCTCTAGAGTTAATGCTGCAGTGACGCAATCGGAGCAAGTCACGGTCCACACTCTTGACGTGGTGGCGGGCATGATTTCGTCTTGGCTAGCCCGCGCCAAGGCCCATCGTGTCCGGTCTGCGATGAATGCCAAAACGTGGGACCTTAAGGCTGCGTATAAACAACTGCCTCTCAGTGACACCGCATTTGCTCGAGATGCCTACTTCGTGATCTACGACCCAAGGAGCCAGAAGCCCGCTGTGTTCAAGCAGCGGGCTCTCCCTTTCGGATCGCGAGCTTCAGTTACGGCGTTCATCAGATGCGCAGTGGCCGTCTGGACGGTAGCAGTCAAGTTGCTGTTCCTAGTTTGGTCCGTCTATTTTGACGACTACCTTAGCATCGCCCGCAGCAGCGAAGCAAAGCACGTCGAGCTGGTAATCAGTGTGTATTTTAGGCTCCTTGGGTGGAAGGTTTCCACCGATAAGCTTCTCCCCTATTCCACTTGCTGTAAGGTGTTAGGGATTGAGCTTGATGTGGGAAACGCCATTCGGGGTTACGCCTTGTTGAAGAATACCCTGAAACGCCGAAACGAAATCATTGCTTCTCTTGAAGAGGTTCTCGCTCGGGGCAGTATTGATGCGACAACGCTTGAAAAGATTCGAGGGCGAGCCCAGTTCGCAAGTGGCCAGTTGTTCGGCAGACTGGCACGGCAGGCGCTTCACTGTTTGTCGGACAAGCCTTCGAAGAGCTTCTGTGTGTCCGAGCGCTTCAGGTGGGGTGCCACTCACCTTGTAGAGCTTTTGCAGAGTGGTTGCTCCAGAGTCGTTTCTAGGGACTTAGGTGATAACCGCCTTGTTTTTGTAGACGCTTCCTTCGAGCCGTCCGGGCACAGTGGGCTTGGAGGCGTCTGCTACGATGCTGACGGGAGAATCTTAAGTTGGTTTGGGGCGACCGTCCCTAGTGACTTGATTAAGGTTCTGCTGAGTTGCTTCGGGCGCGACAGAGAGACAGTGATCTTTGAGCTAGAAGCTCTTGCAGTGGTAGTGGCACTTGAGCTTTTCAAATGTCACCTGTCTCAGAGGAACGTTGTAGTGTACACGGACAACTCAGGTGTGCACGGCGCGTTCGTGAAGTGCTGGTCAGAAAACCCAGTAGGCAGTGCGATGGCTTTCCTGGCAGCCAAGCGTGAGTTTGACTTACAGGCCTTCTTTTACTACGACCGTGTGCCGTCGCACAGCAACCCAGCTGATGCGCCTTCTCGAGGTGTGTACTCAATGGGCCAGGATCTCCGTGCCGAATGTTCGGCAGACGTTCTGACGGAGACCCTTAAGTGCGCCCTCAGTACATAGCCACGTTTTACAGGGGCGGCCAACGTGGGCACTCGTCTCCCCAGTCTGTGAAAAAAGAGAGTGGCGCGTCTTCGACTGCATATGAATGTATATTTGGTTGACGATTCTTTTTATATTCCGAAAGATATTGGAGTCTGTGTTTCACATATCAATTCGTTTAATTTCTCACGCCCGGTGTTTTGCACAAAGGGAAAATAAGAACTATCTCCGCGCGTGCACGGATGAGTTTTTATTTTCCCTGCAAAACAAATTTATTTCGCTTTCGAAATAAATTAGGGCATGTGTGTGACTGTCTCATGTGAGCTATGTTAAGAGTGTTTCTCACGAAACATTTCTGCTCAAGGGAGAGGTGGGTGGGACCCCCAAAGTTTTGTAGAATTTTTCGTCCCGCCCGCCCAAGTCCCATCGTTCGGAGAGGTGCTCCAACGTGGTCTCACAGAGAAAGTGCTCTCACTGGAACGTGCCGTAGCTTCCTTTAATTTACCGAACCGTTGCCCTGGGCCCTAAGCCCGGCCAACGTGGGCACTCGTCTCCCCAGTCTGTGAAAAAAGAGAGTGGCGCGTCTTCGACTGCATATGAATGTATATTTGGTTGACGATTCTTTTTATATTCCGAAAGATATTGGAGTCTGTGTTTCACATATCAATTCGTTTAATTTCTCACGCCCGGTGTTTTGCACAAAGGGAAAATAAGGGTTGGTCGAGGGTTCGGTTCTGGAAGCTATTTCGGAATACAGCTTACACTGTCGCATCCAACACCAGGTTTGACACTGTGTTTTGCGGTTTAAAGATAACTTAATTTTTTGTTTTTGCCTAAAATGACTGGTGTCCTGTCGTTGGCAGATCTTGTCTTAGTGGGCACTTGACAAAAACCATGATTTTGAAGCTGATGGGGTTGATCTGTCCAGAGACTTGAATATGGCTGAAATCACAGCTGGAGCACGCACTCTGATCCAACTTCTAAAATTGGACTCCTGGTTAGGGCCTAATCTAGTAGACGTCTCTTCGAGCGCCCTTGTTCTGAAAGACTCTGCTTCTTTCACATCCCGCTGTGGTTAGTCTCGCTGTTCGCAGAAAACAGAAGTGTTAGATCTACACACTCAGCAAAATAAAGATTTCCGAGGTCTGCACCTGGAACCTTCAGCAAGACATCAAAATTTCCGAGGTCTGCAACTGGAACCTGCTGAGGAGAGTTGCTGCAGATGAATGCAGCATTTGCTCCCCAGAGGTCTTCCCTGTGCACCTGCGGAAACATGAGAGTTTGATCATTTGCCGTGGTGTTGGATCCTGAGAAGCCTTTTTCGCTGAAAAGCAAAAGTCACTTTCCAGACTCACTAAGCTTTGTGGCCCTGTTTGTGTCTAATGCTCGCAAAACTGCCCCAAAGTCTTCAAGCTCCCAAGATCGGAACTCGACTCTGGAGGTGAAGCAGTTGAAGACCAAAACTTCTTGCCAGAAGTTTACAATCTTCCAATCCATGAGAACTAAACAGACATCGACAAGGGGATCCCGCTGACTGTTGGAGGGCCAATCCCGAAATGAGCCTCCAAAACATTTTGTGTCACACAGTCCACATTGTTAGTGAAGTCGTTCTGCTCATACTGGCAGTGCAGCGGGCACGTTGTGATTCCATCGAGGCATGGTGTGTCATTCGGCAGCACGAACTTGATATACATGTTCTACAGCTGAGACTACACAAAAAAACCTACCTTGAGAAGGAAACAGCTCACCAAAGCAGCAACTGGTTTAAGGTTTGGGGTAATGCTGGGACTTTGAAGTTTAGATAAGAATAGCAAGCAACAACTTCGCTAAAAGAATTTTTAGCTAACTATGATATTTGGGATCTGGGCATGACTGTGGCGAGTATCATGTTTTCACAGCTTCACAAAGCTCCAAGGTTGAGATGGTGAGACGTGACAGAACTCGCAACGCTGTGTAGCCTCCCAAGAGCTGCCGCACAAGATTTCACCTTGGTGATGCTCTTGGCTGGCAGGCACCCTCCCGCAAACGGCAGCACAACCGTTTCAAACTCTCTTCACGTGCTCCGGGTGTTTTTGAAAGAAGTACAAAGCCGCAGCACTGACATTGCTATCAGATGGCACATCGGCAAGGAAAAGATCGCGAGGAATCCTCGCAAAGAAAATCATCTACGCTGCCGCCACAACATCCTTCGTTGCGGCGGAAGGGGCAGCTGCAGCTGCAGCATCCTGACTGCCGGAAATTCAGTTCAGGAGCCTGCCAGTGCGCAAACCAATCAGCTCTGGATAATCCGCAATTCGTGCGGTCAGCAGGCCAACGGGTGACTTCTCATCGCTGGCCCTCAGCTTCAGGACCCGGCAGCCATGGGTGACGTCCTGGGCCATCTGACAGTAGCAGTGGCCGGCTGGGATGCCCAGGGCTTTGCCCGGGGACAGATGAACAATCCAGCCTTTTTTCTGGCAGATTTTCAGGAAATCGGTTGGGTCCGGGTCACATCACAGAACGCTTTGAAGCCGTCTTTCATCATCGTGGTATTGATCTGGAATCCGCAGCACACAGATGTGCCCTCCAAGCACATCTTGAACTCAGTCAAGGCATAGTCTGTTGTGAAGTAGATCTTGCTGGTGTTTTTCCCCATGCTCCAAAACATTGGCGAAAACACCTCTTTCAAATCACCGTCTGTGGTGACATCCTTGATGTGCTTGGATGCATTGCCAAGGCAGCTCATCCAATCCTTGTTGAGCTTGGTGCAAAGCTGCGGTTTGGCGACCACGTTGGTTGACAGCTCGGGGCCGCTGCCTTTCTTCCAGCTTTCGGCCAGCCAGGTCTTCTGCTGCTCGTAGTACGGCAACTCCAGCCACTCCTGCAACAGCTGCTGGTTCTGGGCTGCAGCCAGAACCAGGGCAAAGGCCTGGTTCTCCTTCTTAACCCAGTCGGCAGCGGCAAACACCACGCCCTGATCCTCATCGATGTTCTCCACTGCTTGGGTCCAGAAGAGGTTCGACAGGGCCTCGCCAAGTGGGGAGTTGCTGCCGGGAGGCAGGTTACCTGTCTTCTGGCTCTTGGCTGCCTTGTTCGCCGAGGAAACTGACAGTCGCTTCTTTTTGTTGCAGCCCTTCTTGTACTCGGCACACCAGGCCCTGATGTCCGTCAGGTTGTCCTTCACCTTTTTCACCGCATCTCTTGATGCGAACGTCTTCACAAAGGCCGAAACATCCATGAAGTACTGGTGCCACTTCTCGGCGGCCTCGTCGGAGGTGTCCGAAGGGTTGCTTTCCAAAGCAGTTGTCCATTTCCTGGGCTCGGCAAACTACAAGAATGATAGACTAGGTATTTCCCAAACTATCAAACACCTTGATAAGGACTCTAATCTGCTGTTTCCCAAACTATCAAAAGCTCTGGGAAGGACTCTATTCTGCTGTTTCCCAAACTATCAAAAGCTCTGGGAAGGACTCTATTCTGCTGTTTCCCAAACACTCAAAAGCTCTGAGAAGGACTCTATTCTGCTGTTTCCCAAACTATCAAAAGCTCTGAGAAGGACTCTATTCTGCTGTTTCCCAAACTATGAAAGGCTCTGAGAAGGACTCTATTCTGCTGTTTCCCAAACTATCGAAAGCTCCAAAAAGGACTCTATTCTGCTGTTTCCCAAATTATCAAAAGCTCTGAGAAGGACTCTATTCTGCTGTTTCCCAAACTATCAAAATCTCTGGGAAGGACTCTATTCTGCTGTTTCCCAAACTATCAAAAGCTCTGGGAAGGACTCTATTCTGCTGTGGCCCAAATTATCAAAAACTCTGGGAAGGACTCTATCTATTAGTCTGAGAAGGTCCCTATTCTGCTGTTTCCCAAACACTCAAAAGGTCTGGGAAGGACTCTATTCTGCTGTTTCCCAAACTATCAAAAGCTCTGAGAAGGACTCTATTCTGCTGTTTCCCAAACTATCAAAAGCTCTGGGAAGGACCTTATTCTGCTGTTTCCCAAACTATCAAAAGGTCTGAGAAGGACTCTATTCTGCTGTTTCCCAAACTATCAAAAGCTCTGGGAAGGACTCTATTCTATTCTGCTGTTTCCCAAACTATCAAAAGCTCTGAGAAAGAGTCTGTTCTAGAATGCACAGCCAAGATGCTCGATCGTCTCCTCCAAGTACTGCTCGGCACCCTTGTAGATCTCCTCGAACTTGTCCGTCCTTGTCTTCATCTCGGCCATGGTGGTGGGGTTGTTCTCGGACATCTGCTCGATCTCCAGCTTGAGGGTCTTGAGAGCTGTCTTGAAACGACACAAACTCGCTTCACAACTTGACCGAGCCCTGCTGATGCTGCTTTCGTATTGCAATTTTTCGAGCGCCGCACTTGACACCTTCGGTCTCTGGGAGAGGAGTTGTCGCCGTTTTTCCTCAATCTTCTCGGCCTCTTCGTAGAGCTGCTGTTCGGCCGCCATCCTCATTTTGCTCGACGCCTCCATGTCTGCTTGGATCTGAAGCAGAGGGGTCTCTCTGTGGACCCCGGCGGCATCTGAGCTCATGCGGTCTGCACGGAGCAACGTCTCTCCCCTTTGCAGGCGCATGTCCGCTTGGGTGCCGAAGGCCTCCAAGTCCTCGGAGTTGTGAAGATCGCACCTCTGCTTGAGGCCTGCTGTGATGCTGTGGCGGCTGCCATCTCTGTCTTCCAGGCCGGTCCACACACGCAGCAGGACCTCGCCATTCACAGTCTTCGTCTGGCTGGTCGGCTTGTCCAGCTCCCGCTTTCAACGGGTGGGGAGCTCCTCGGGCGAGCAACCGGTCACCAACCTTTCTGTTGCGGCCCAGTCTCGGAATCTGGTCCACCGGGCCACGTCATCGCTGCCGCTGTGCCGGCTGCGATTCTCCTCCACGATTCCCACTCCGGATTCAAACGTGCGGCTTTTTGTTGGAGAATCCTTCAGCTTCTCTTTTGGCTTTCTGTTTCCTGTACCACTCGGCTCTGTCCTCCTCGCTCATCTTGGCCACTTCGCTTTTGACCTTTTCGGCCTTCATTCTCATGTCTTGCTCTGCCGGGGTTTCGTCAGCCCCCTTAACCTTGGTCTTGCAAGACCTCTGCAAGGACTTGTCAGTTGCTGCACAACCTGTACACACACGCTTCAGGGCATTCCGCCCTGATGCATGGGAGTTCTCCAGCAACACAGGGTCCCTGCACTTCTGACACACAAGCTGTGTCTCAGACATCGCTCGGTGTCTGCAGAAAAACGAAGAGTACTCTCGTGGCGAGGCAGGCAAACTTGGCTCTGCCGGGGCTTCCTAAAAGAAGCAAGCTGAAAAGCAAAACGGCTGGAAACATGATATGAAAAAATCCATCATGGAGTGGCTGCTACTTCCTTCCAAAGTTCTCTCTCTCTCTCTCTCTCTCTCTCTCTCTCTCTCTCTCTCTCTCTCTCTCTCTCTCTCTCTCTCTCTCTCTCTCTCTCTCTCTCTCTCTCTCTCTCTCTCTCTCTCTCTCTCTCTCTCTCTCTCTCTCTCTCTCTCTCTCTCTCTCTCTCTCTCTCTCCTCTCTCTCTCTCTCTCTCTCTCTCTCTCTCTCTCTCTCTCTCTCTCTCTCTCTCTCTCTCTCTCTCTCTCTCTCTCTCTCTCTCTCTCTCTCTCTCTCCCTCTCTCTGTCTCTCTCGTTCTAGCTCCTGCTGATGTCGTGGCACTTTCTTTTCCTTGGTCCACGCCTTCTCGGTGCAGGGTGCTACAGAAAAGTGTCGTCGGACGCACTAATTATGGTGGATGTAGCCCTGGTAAACTATCTGCAAAGGGATGACAGCAACACGAACATGATGAACAGAACACTGGCCACATCCCTAGCTGCTAGTGCATATCAAATTATCTTGCACTTTGTGCAATCTAATTGATTTATGCAAGGACATCACAAGGTCTTGAGTGCCCATTCGATGGTTGCCATCATTTTTTGTCTTTTTCTTGGTGGTGAAACAACAGCTGGCTTGGTGCTGGGTGCATCACGAACTTCTGCAAAACAAAGACTGCTGAGCTCAAGTCGAGACAAGCGAGGCTGCCGAACACCTCGCCACAACTTCCCAGCTACTACAGCAGCACGCAGGAGTGGGGCCAACATTATGCTGGCCTGCAAAACGTTGAAACAGTTGCCTGTTGCCTGCAGAACATGTTGCTTGCTTTTGAAATGCTGGAGAAGATTTGGGCTGTGACCTTGAAGGATGAGCCTTTCTTCTGGCAGCACATAACGATGAAACTCCATCTGGCTGCTGGGCAGATGGATGTCTGCAGTGGACAGCACAAACAATAGAGGCCCCTGTGTTCGCAGACTGGGCACCCGGTCTTTGTGGACTCTCCCTCCGACGGCCCGCAAGGGGCATCTGTCCAACTCGACAACAGCAAGGTCGAACTCGTGCTTTCGCCTCTCTTCTGCAACTGCCTGGATGTAAAGCTTGAGGTTGGCAGCTTGAGTTGCAGTCATGCTGTCTGTGGTGTCATTAGCTTTTCTCTCGAGCCGAACGACTTGGACTAAACAGCAGCAGTAAAACTTAAAGGCGAACTTATTCAAGCTGCAGTAAAACACTTGAAAGGCTTTGTGCAACAAGAATGACATGACTGCATGTACTGAAGCACTCACACTGTAGATCGCACTGCCGACGACTTTTCCTTCGGTGACGTTGGGAAGTCTGAAGCTGCATGTGCCATGTTGACACCAAGCTCACTAACTACATGCCAAGCTGGCATTCGTCTGCACAAACTACACGCAGGGAGTTGCAGCCCTCTAGGAGGCAGTGTCAGGGTGGGCGGGTGGGACAAAAATTTTGCCCGGCTTGAGCACACACCACTGCATGCGGAATGGCATTGCACTCTCTGATTGAGCACCGTAAAGCAGTCTACAAAAATTGTCACAAGAAAATCAAGCGAAGTGCAACAAGAAAATCAATCCAGCCTCCTTCACAGTCAAGGCAGCAGGGCAACAGAGCCAACAGTCCCTCGCAAGCTCGGGCATCCGCCAAGGCTGTCCGCTCTCTCCCTATCTCTTCCTGGTCGTTCACAGCATGATCATGGCCGATGTCGACGCAGAGCTGCAGCAGCACGGCCAGATGCTTCCGTGGCTTTTCAGCCAAAAGCAACCATTCTACGATCTCGCCTACGCAGACGACATGGCCATCTTCACAGGTACTGCGGAAAGGGGCCAGCAAATTCTGCACAAGATTCAGGAAGTTGCCGCTCACAGCAACCTCTCGTTGAATCTTAAAAAGTGCGAACTGCTTCGCTCACAGTTGGCCGTCAATCACATTCACTTCCTCACAGGTGAGCTAATGAAGGAAGTCACACAGGCCAAGTACCTCGGTGTTGTCCTCAGCCAGGACTCGTCCAGCAAGGCGGACATCACAGCTAGATTGGGAAAGGCGCGGAAGCACTTCAACACCCTGCACGCCTTTTGGCGACACACAGGCCTGAGCGTAGCGTGGAAGCTGCGCATCTACAACGCGGTCTTCATCCCCATGATTGCTTATGGCATGGAGTCCGCTGCGCTCACTACAGCAGACCTCCACAGGCTTGAGGCCTTCCACTCACAGTCACTCCGCAAGATCCAACGGATCAAAGCCACCTACTACACCAAGATCCTCACAGACAACCCCCTCGCACAGACCATCCGAAACGAAGGAGTCCGAGCCCTTGCCGACCAGCCCCCACTCACCCACCACATTCACAGGGCACAACTAAAGTTGTTTGGTCATGTTTTGAGAGCAACTCCGAGCAACCTGGAGCGAAACTGTGTTTTTACGAAGGCGTTTGTATATAGAGGGGGTACCGTACAGGCAGGCATACGGCCGGGACGTCGTAGACTGCACTGGGCTGAGCAGTGTGCCGAGCTAGCATGGCACTGGCTCTCGCATACCCCACATGCCATGACCTCTCAAGCCCCTAGTTTTCCTTTTGCCTTCCTTTTGCTTCACAGGCTGGCTGTTAACCGTCCGGCTTGGCTTCAGTTAGTGGGGCTGCCAACGTGCAAGAAGCTCCTCAGGTCTAGCGCTTTCTTTTCCTACTCACAGTGAGTACGCTGACTTGTGTCTGCTTTGCATATGGCCGCCCAAAAAAACTTCTTCTACTGTTTACCGCAGATTGTCGGCGATCGTTAATTTAAGAGGTCTCCGCTCTCTTAGCTTGATAGACTCCGCTCATTGCCTACCCTCACGGAAGCACTAGGGGATGGCGAGGCACCCCGCCGTGGTGGGCGGTCTCATGGTCCCCATGGCTGGGCTTGAATCCGTGCCGGCTTTCACAGAGAGGGCCAAGCAGATCGGCATCGGCGATGAGCTGCTGGAGAAGTTCAAGACGAAAAACTTGGACACGTACGGCAAGCTCGCTTTCATTTGCAGCAGTCGGCCTAGCTCCGGTGACGACAAAGCCCTTTTCGAGGCCATCAGGCTGCTCATTGGAGAGGAGGTGCCAGTCGAGATGCAGTCTATTGTTAGGAGGTTGTGGTACGAGTCTCACTCCCACGCCCTGGTGGACTTGGAGGCAAGAGCCTCACTGGCGAGACCAGCCCCCGCGAGATGCCCTTGGCAGAACGCTTGACACGCTTGAAGCGACAAAGGGGCGAGCTCAAGGGCCTCGAGATGGATGTCCACACAGAACCGGGACACGCCCTTGTGGACCGGGTGCAAGCCATGCTAGACAGCGCTCAAGTTCTTCATATTGCCCCTGAGACGTGCATATCGCGTCATGACGAAATTCTGGGCGATAAGACCGAGCAGAAGTTGTCTTTGGGCGCAGACGGAAACATCAAAATTACCAAGCAGGCCTCCTCACTGCGATGCGAGACCACCGGAGAACTCAAGCTGAGGCGCTGCTTCTTGAGGCGAGCCTTGGCCCTCGATCAAGTGGGTCTGGCAAGCTACGCAGTCATGGAGTCTTGGCACAACAAGATGTTTCAATCCTTGCTTGACGCCCCGCCGGCAGGATACAGGTACACCACTGTGCAGCAGGTCTTAGCCGCGGACCAGAAGTTGTGGCAAGTAGTTGCGCAGGAAAGCCGGGGGGACATCTCGATAGGAGTGGGAATGCCAGCTCCGCTTGACAAGCATATCATCGCGGCAGCCAAGGACCAATTCGTCATGTCCTGCCTCACTCACCTGCCTAAGCCTCCTGAAGCTTCGGTGCTGCCCTGGAAGCCGCGCAAGGGTGGCAAAGATGGCAAAGGAGATAAGGGCGACGGCAAAGGAGGCAAAGGAAAGGGTGGCAAGGGGAAACAGAACCAGACTAACTCAGGTGCGGCCAATGGCACCTCGTTGAAGGATCTGCTTGAGAGCCTCCCCGAAGGATGCGTCCGGGCCACTGATGAGGGTCGCTTCATTTGTCCGTTCTACATCAAGGGCATTTGCAGGTTTCAGAAGCGAAAGTCCTGTCGTTTCGGTAAGCACGTTTGCAATTTCAAGGGGTGTGGGGCTGAACGACCCTACATCGAGTGCAAGCATTGACTAGCCGCAGGGGCGGCCGCCAACGACAATTCTCCGCATTTGAGCTCAGGGGCTGTGTGCAAGCCCGAGATCTATGCCAGACGCCTTTTGCAGCAGAGAGAGCCGGTGACAGCAGCGCAACTGGCTGCTTTGTTCGATGCCCTGCCGCACGACAGGTGTGACCGGGATGAATCAGGTTTTTCCTTCTCTGCAGGACTCTACTCGAGAGTCCAAGTGGGTCTCCGCAAGGCCTGCAAGTTGTTTCCTCTTTCCGTGCAAGCGGTGAATAAGTTTGTAACTTCTTTGCTTAGCGGCACAGCTTACACGAGTTTTGCCATGTTTTCCAGAGTACAGACCCGGGAGCACCGGGACACACAGAATTCTTTTTTGCCAAATGTTGTTATTCCTTTGACTGCATTCAATGGGGGTTCCATCGAGGTCAAGGAGCCTGACCAAGTCATAAGCCTTGACGATTGACGTGTCGCACGGGCCTGTGCGGTTCTGCGCGCGACAGTTTCCGCACTGGACCAAGCCGGCTAAAGGGAGGCGACTGGTCCTAGTGTTGTTTTCCCTGCAAGCCGCTACGAAAGCCTCGGCCCAGGACAAACTTCGCTTGCGACGCTTAGGCTTCCCTTTTCCAGATGAGCAACAGCTTGCGTCCAGGGAGGTCTGTCCTACTGAAGCCGTGCAGCTTAGTCAAGCTCAACGCGCCGTCCTGCCCAGCTCCGTTAGGGCTGAGCCAGGCTGCCCCAGCGCGTCATCGGCCAGCGACTCGACTACGGCGGTCAAGCCTCCTACAATGGTGGAGTGCCTTGCCAGCTGTGGGCCCGTAGCAGCGCAGGCCCTCTCTTCGGGATGGAATGCGATCCCAGTGGGTAAGAGGGTGCCTGCAGTCGAAAGCTCGCCAATGCTTTGCTTGGACTTTTCGGTCGAAGAGAGCACACATGCCCTGCTCAACTTTGACTCATCTGAAGTGGTTGACTGGTGGCACGGGCATCTTTTTCTCAAGTCATGCAAGAAGCCCGACCGCGCATCCTCTAAGGAACCTCTCCGAACAGCCGAAAGCATTTTTGGCTGCCCAGGGTTGTCGCCTCGAGCTAAGGAGCTGGTCCAACGTGATAACCGAATTTGCTCCGCTGTGGTTTCCATCCTGCTGCGGGCCTCTGACACAGGGGCCCTCGTGTCATTGATTGGGCCGGCCCGAAGCTGGGCTTGGAGTCTCCTCGCCCACACTGTCAAGGCCACTAAAAACCGAGGTTTCATAGACTGGTTCTTCTCCCTTCAAGATCAGGAGCTTGACACGTGCATGTTCGGATCACCCTTCCTTACCTCACTTCGTGTCAAAGCCTCGGCTCGCGCTTTCCAGCAACTTGCAGCTACTTGTGACAAGTCCCATAAGCACAGGCCCTGGGTACCAACCTCCGCCGATGCATCTTTCGGCGATTCGTCGCTGCCCCCTCTTCTATGCCAGCGTTTGTGTGAGTGCGCCAGCCAGGTTGTCACAGGCCAGGCCACCCACAGGCCGTCGGTCACTCGCTCCAGGCAGCTGCGCGCGGCCGTCCGAGCGGCCGCCGCCAATCAAACCCACCACACTCCGCCCCTAATCCCTGAGTTTCGGGTTAGGACCCCGTTGTCCCAAGTTCCGCCTGGCGCTGAGTTTAAAGTCTTGGTTAAGGACGGCTCGGCATCGGGGGGTGCGGTTGAGCCGGATAAGCGGTTTAGGCTCGGGGGGGTTCAACCTAGTCCCACTGGCCCCCGAGTAGGGGACATGGCAGGGGTGTACCACACCATGGAAGAACACCTTCAACTAGCCGCCGCTTTGGAAAGCCCCGCTGACAATAGCAGTAGGCTGCCAGATCAGCTACGAAGGAACATTTTTGCAATGCTGACTGAGGGTCCGGTAGCCATCTCTAAGAAAAGGCTCATCGCCCTTCAGCATCTGAATCGCAGAGTCCAGGAACTGGCTGCCGAGGAGGAGTCCCTGCGCGCGAGCATGCATGCTGATGTTGCTTCAGTGACCAAGGGGAAGGCGATCTCGTTATTTCGTGAATTGCTAGAGGAGACTGGCTTTCCGGATATGTCTGTGGTGGAGCTCCTAGAGAAGGGGGTTCCGCTCGTGGGGCAGGAACCTGCCTCGGCCCTTTTCTCAAAACGCCCTAAACCCAGCGACCTTGAACCTGATCAACTCAAGGCTCAATCGGTGCTCAGGCGCGAGGTGCTACAGCGCACCAAGGGGCTTATCTCGGAGTCAGATTATGCAGATATGCGCTCGGAGACAGCCGAGGAGGAAGTCAAGGCAGGATTTCTTGCCGGACCGTACACTTCAGAAGCTCAGGTCAGTGAGATCCTCGGTACGTCTGCATGGTCACTCTCTCCGCGCTTTCTCCTGAGGCAGGGAGAAGACTCAAAAGTCAGGATCATTGACGACTTTAAGATGTCTGCTGTTAACAGAGCCTTCGGCTCGACATCGTTCCTGGAGTTGCAAGACACTGACTTCGCAGTAGGGCTGCTCAGGTTTCTTTCTCGGATCCTGCAAGACCGCTCTCGTGTGAGGGTGCCCCTGATGGACGGTTCGGTCCTGGAAGGTGATTGGGCGCCGGAAATGCTTAGCTGCCCTCCTTTGCTCGCAAAGACTTTGGACTTGAGCAAGGCCTACCGTCAAGTGGCCATTCATCCTTCCAGCAAGGACTTCGCGGTTCTAGGGTTTCCCACGCCCAGTGGGGAATGGGAGTTTTACCTTGCAAAGAGCTTGCCTTTCGGAGCAGCTGCCAGCGTCTTTGGGTTTAATAAGATTGCCTTGGGGGTTCTGCACATAATGGTTGTAAAGTTCATGGCCATCGCCACGGACTTTTACGACGACTACACCATCTACGAGTTCAAGCCTGCTGCCTCCCTTCTTGACAAAGCCCTGATGCGGCTGCTGGACATACTCGGATGGACCTATGCCCGCTCAGGACGCAAGTTTGTGCCTTTCGCCGAAAGGGTCACCTCGCTCGGGGTCACCTTAGGGCTTGAGGAGATTTGGGGAGGGATCCTGACGGTTGAGAACAAGGCGGGAAGGCTTGAGCGGATTGCACTCCATCTCAAGGCGATCGCGGACGGTGGCGAAGTGACTCGTACCGACATTGCGTCGCTGCACGGGCTGATCAACTTCGCTGGGGGTTTGATTTTGGGGTTTGAGCTTAAGCCCACTTCGAGGATGTTGTCGCGGGCCCTCTCAGGACCTTTCAGAGGAAACACTCCCGAATTGCGGCAAGCCTGCTCTTTGGCCCTCGACGTTATATCCCAGTGCCGCCCCAAGCGATGTCCAGCCTCGGTGAAGCCTCCCATCATACTGTACGCCGATGGCGCCTATGAGAAGGGCGTGGGTACATGGGGGGCCATCTTGATTGATAATCACAGCGGAGCTCGGTGGGCTTTCGGGGGAACTGTATGCCACCAGCTCAAGAATCTCTGGGAGCGCCAAGCCGGGGAACAAGTAATCTGCCAGGTCGAAGCATACGCTTTGGCGATTGTGCTCTTCGGGCTCAGGGGATTTCTGAAGGGTCGTTCCTTGATTGCTTTCATTGATAACGAGGCCTGCCGCTTCGGGTTCATCAAGCGGTATTCTCCTTCATCAAGTTTGCTCCGCTTGATTTCCTTAACAGCTTTGCTGGAAGGCTCACTAGAGGCCCTGCTTTGGTTTGAGCGGGTACCTTCAAAGAGCAACCCAGCTGACCTCCCATCAAGGGGGGCCATCACTGAAGTTTGTGAGCGTTTCGCAGTCGTGAACAAAGGAGACATTGCGCTGACTCCCACGATGCTTGATTTCCTTTGTGCAACGAGCTATGATACCAGAACGGCCCAAGCCATTCTTAGCTCAACTCGACTTGAAGGCGATTGGGCAGATGAGGCTGTGCAGTAGCCCATGACCAGCGCATCGCAGCTCGCGAGACGGGGGAGATGGTTGCTCGTGGATGGCTGCACTTGCCATCGGGGCTGTGCTAGCCCCTTTTCTTCGCCATCTGACCCGGTGTTTTTACACCCGATGCAGTATTAGGAAGGAAAAAAGAGAGGTCCGTGCGCTGCGAGCTCTTGTTTACATTGATCGAAGATATCTCGGATCATATTGGGAATGAGAATTTTTCCTCGAAGTTTCTATATGTTTCGATTCCCCACATATCTTTTGGGGAATACAAATCTGCAAGGAGACCAGAGAAACGACCCACGGAGCGAAGCGCAGTAATGTTTCTCCTGGTCTAGCGAAGCTGAAGGCGAAGCGTACTTGCAATTTTTACTTTTCGATTTTCACGCAACTTTTCACGATGTTTCACATGCTTCCATTGTTTGTGCGATTTTGAACCATGTATTCGACGGTGGAGTTGCTCAAGCTGGGTTTTGCTGAGCCGAGGAAAATTTTCAACCACCCACCCACCCGACTGGTTCAATACGGTCTTTGTGCCGCTGGGGGGGAGATGGTTGCTGCACTTGCCATCGGGGCTGTGCTATAGCCCCTTTTCTTCGCCATCTGACCCGGTGTTTTTACCCCCGATGCAGTATTATAGGAAGGAAAAAAGAGAGGCCCGTGCGCTGCGAGCTCTTGTTTACATTGATCGAAGATATCTCGGATCATATTGGGAATGAGAATTTTTCCTCGAAGTTTCTATATGTTTCGATTCCCCACATATCATTTGGGGAATACAAATCTGCAAGGAGACCAGAGAAACGTATTGGTAGTTAGGATTGTTGTAGGTTGTAGTGGTCACGGCAAATCCCATCCCACTCTGTCCTTTGCCACTTTCCAAGCAGCCGCTACACTCCCTACCGTCTTCCAGCCCACTTGCCCCACTCTGTGGCCCGGGTCAGCTGCCAGGTCCGGGTGGATCTTTTTGGCATAGAAGGCTTTATTCCTGCAAAGGACCTCTATTGCACACTTCTGGCTCGGGCTGCGGATCGTGTAGGAGTGGAGTCCCTTCGTTGGTCCCTGTGGGAAGGCGTCTTTGGGCACGGCCAGGTCCTTGAGGTTGTACTTCTGAAACATGGCATCGGTACGGTCCGTGGGCTCCTCGGCCGCCTTCTTGGCGGCTTTCTTCTTGCGACGCTTGAGCACGCGTCTGAAGCTGCCCTTCTTTCTGAGCACCTTCGCCTTGGCCTTCACGGGATTCGCGGCCTCGGCCTTCGCGGCCGCCTTGCGGGCCTGCATGCTTCGATATCCCTGCTCTCCAACTGGCTCGACGTCAGCATGCATCATATCTTTGTTCAATCCCATGAGCTCCGCAATCGACGTGGGCGTGCTGCATGCCTCGTCGTCCTCGCTGTGCTCCTCCGCCTTCACCATCATGAGGTTTGGCCGCTTCTTGTTGTTCCGGGCAGGGTCCTGCCCCAGTCGCGAATGAATAGACTAATGTAGTAGGAATCCATGCAACGGGTTTCTCAATACTATCTTTTATGCAACTGCCCTGAGACTCCTCATCGCTGCTGGACATGAACGGCGGTGCCATGGGATCATCCTCGCTGCCCTTCGATCAAATCAATTGAAGGACATGTTCCAAAACCTCAACGACACTGATAGATTAGCTGCCTCTGCGTCCATCATAGTCTCGGGGAGCCACTCGGGATTCGTGGGGCTGTCGAAGTCGCTTGGCAGATCCTGGCGGGACGGGATGGAGTTTATAGGTTAGCAACATGGAAAAAGCATACGAATCCTGGTCCGATGGCGAGTCCAGTGGGCCCTTCTTCTTCTGCTCGATGTCGCTCTTGCCTGGTCCATCCTGCAAAAAACATACAACTAGAAATACCACTATAGAGCTGATTCACATCCGTCCTTCTCCCGTCGTGGGCCCTTCTTCTTCTGCTCGATGTCGCTCTTGCTTGGTCCATCCTGCAAAAAACATACGACTAGAAATACCACTATAGAGCTGATTCACATCCGTCCTTCTCCCGCCGTGGGCACTTCTTCTTCGGCTCGATGTTGCTTTTGCTTCGTCCATCCTACAAGAACATTAGAAATAACACTATATAGCTGAATCATATCCGTCCTTCTTCGATGCCGTCTCCAGTGGCCCGTTCGGTTCGATGTCGCTGTTGCTTCGTCCATCCTGCAAGAATACACAAAATAGAAATAATACTATATAGCTGCATATATCCGTCCTTCTCCGATGCCGAGTCCAGTGGCCCCTTCTGCTCGATGTCGCTGCTGCTTCGTCCATCCTGCAAGAATACACAAAATAGAAATAATACTATATAGCTGTATCATATCCGTCCTTCTCCGATGCCGAGTCCAGTGGCCCCTTCTGCTCGATGTCGCTGGCGCTTGGTCCATCCTGCAAGAACACACAAATAGAAGTAACACTAGCTGATTCATATCCGTCCTCCTCCGATGCAGAGTCCAGTGGCCCCTTCGGCTCGATGTCGCTGGCGCTTCGTCCTTCCTGCCAGAACACACAATTAGAAATAATACTAGCTGATTCATACCCGTCCTTCTCGGATGCCGAACCCAGCGGCCCCTTCGGCTCCATGTCGCTGTCGCTTGGTCCATCCTGACAAACACGTACATACAAACAACTCTATATGTAGATTACCACACCCGTCCTTCTCCGATCGTGAGTTCTGTGACTCCACAAATGCCCGGGCCCAGTCGGTGTCAGTTGCGAAATCCTGCCAAACACGCAATAGCACACAGCTTTTCCCAATGAGATTTACTCAATACTCGTCCTTCAGACGTGGGCCGCGGCGGCCCAGCTTCTTCGACTCCACGTTGCTGTCGCTTCCCGGATCCTGCGAAAGTTTTCAAGGCACCCACAAAAAACCTTGCGTGTGCATGAACTTTACACTCCTCCTCCTTGGACGATGTCCCGGGGCCCTGAACATCGCTGTGGATGTCGGAGTCGCTTTGCGCATCCTGCAAAAACCCACAACTATGCATAACTCTTCGTCTCAACCTTACACTCGTCCTTCTCCGATGCCGAATCCGGGCCCTTCGGCACGTCGATGTCGCTGTCCTGCCAAAACACGTAACGAGAAGCAACTCTTCTGCGTGAACCATAGTTACTGCGTCCTCTGCCACGGATGGGCCGATCATCTTCGGCTGGCCCTTGTACACCCGCAACAAGATGCAATGAAACAACTATGGAACCTCTAAATCAATTTGGCCTTCTTTCGGGAAAGCTTCTTGTTCCTCTTGCCCATCTTCCGGTCACACTTTGACTCCTGCAACATGACGGGACTACACAGTAATTGTTTGAATGAATCATGATCATCACGAAATCCTCGGGCTCCTCGGAGCTCGAGCTCACGGCATCCATGATCTTCTCGGCCTTTTCGAGGTCGGTTTCTTCATCCTGGAACATGCAAACACTTGTTGATCATGACTGCAACATGCACACATTAACGTCCTGCTCCGCAGATGATGTCGGCACGCTTGGAGGCTCCGGCTCCTTTAAGAGACAGGTGCTATAATTAAAATCCAAGCATCACAAGACATGTCGCTGCACGTTCAATCCTTGACATCGTCATCATCATCATCGATAACCACCGGCCACGGTTCGAAGATAGGTTCATCTAGATCCACTTTTGGACGGGGCCGACACAACCAGGATCCCGTCGGATCCTATAATGCATGCACATCCCACGAACACATGTCAGGTTGCAATCTTATAGAGGCAGTCCTTTGGCAGCCTCTTGCCACTGGCAATCATCTTCGTGCCATCCTCATGCATGCAATGCACACTCGCTCACTCCAACATGCACTATCAGAATGCCTCGTCCTCGTCCTCGCTCTTCGGCGAAGATGGCGGCGTCGGTATGTCCGACGCCCCACAATACGACACCGTTGCCTCTGGATCGAGGCACTCGAGCGGAAAGAGCAGCCCGCACGCAAGTTCATCGAGCTTCATGTCCATATCGTTGTCGCTCCACTCCTCCTCGGAGCTAAGCTCCGCGAGCAGCGACATGGAGCCCCGGTCGGAGAAATCCTGCAAGTCATAGGGTTGCATGGGAGAAAAAATGAACGTATTTCCAACCTGTCCTCATCGTCTTCCGACCGATCTCCCAGCTGTCGTGTCGACGCTTGCGAAAGCAGGGGCTCATCCTCAGATCGTGCAACATTACACTAGCGAAGCCCAGCAACAGCACTCGGAGCGGCCTCCGTGGCAATCGAGGCGAGGTAGTCGTCCTCGATCGCCTTCTCCGCTTCCTTCTTCTCCGTCTCCGTCTTCGCAGGTGTCCTCTCCTCCAAGCGAAAAGCAGGGCAAACTAGAAAGCAATCTCCATGCCAAACCCTCTCAAAGGACAACAGGCGGCTTCGGATCCTTCGGGCGAAGGTCGTGCTTCAAATCCGCGATTCTCGTGAAGCGGCTGTTCTTACCTGGGATCCGGCGCTTTTGCTAATTGCCAAATGGAACCGATCTGCAATTGAGCCGCTCGATCGAAAAAGGTACCTCAAAGATTGAAGGAGCTTCTTGATCTTCACGGCCTCCGCGGCCGCCTTGTTGATCAACGACTCATTCGGCTGGACGGGGAAGAGCTTCTTCCCGAGCAACTCGTTCAGCAGAAGCAAAGTGTCGGTAACCATATAAGCGCTCGGCACCGTGGTGGGGAGGGCTTGAACCCAAGGCTTCAGGAGGAAGTAGTGGCGGGACACCTCACGCGCTGTCGGTCGCGCAGTGTCCGACTCCAGTCGGACGATGGCACCGCCCCTCCAATTGGGGCCTTCTATCAAGTCCTTGACTGCCACAGGCAGGTGCTGCTCCATGGCCGTTGCAAGGCCCTGCACCTTCTCGTAGGTCCACTTCACTTTGCCAGCGCCTGCATGTCGCATGACTATAACTACCACGCATGAAGCCCATGCAAAGATCGGTGCACAGAAGAGGTGCATGCTCCACAAATCATTGCAGCGAAGTCGCGGACCGACCGCCATTCAGGCCG